ACCTACAAATTCGTTTCAATATTTAGATTTTTATATTAATCATCCTATACACACTAAAGTAAATATTCTACTTTGGAAGACGGTAAGACCAGATATTACAAACCTACAAATTTACAAAATCCGTTTCAGTCTTACTGTCTTCCAAATATTCTACGAATTAGTAGTTTGTAATATAAATCCGTTTCAGTCTTACCGTCTTCCAAAGTGGAATATTTACTTTAGTGTGTATAGGATGATTAATCCAGTATTTAGATTTTTAAATTCACAGTAGGTTTGTAATATAAATCTGTTTCAGTCTTACTTTCTTCCAAAGTAGAATATTTACTTTAGTGTGTATAGGATGATTAATATAAAAATCTAAATACTGGTGTGAATTTGTAAGGTTTGTAATATAAATCCGTTTCAATCTTACCGTCTTTTCTACTTTGGAGTAAGATTGAAACGGATTTATATTACAAACCTACAAATTTACACCAGTATTTAGATTTTTATATTAATCATCCTATACACACTAAAGTAAATATTCTACTTTGGAAGACAGTAAGACTGAAACGGATTTATATTACAAACCTACAAATTTACACCAGTATTTAGATTTTTATATTAATCATCCTATACACACTAAAGTAAATAGTCTTACCGTCTTCCAAAGTGGAATATTTACCTTAGTGTGTATAGGATGATTAATATAAAAATCTAAATACTGGTGTAAATTAGTAGGTTTGTAATATAAATCGGAGTCAGTTTAACCGTCTTCCTTTTTTATAAACTCTACATTTAAGTGTAAAAAGCATAATGTTATTTATGTATTATCTTGTATTTGTTGTAAGCAAATATATGTTGAAGAAACAGAAAATTTACGTTTGAGAATATATTTATACAAATCTCATGTCAGAAATGTAAATAATAACCCATTATCTGTTAACAAACACATTAATAAGTGTATTATGGAAATATATAATACTTTAAAAGAACCTTTTTTCTAAATATTTCCATTTTGGTATTCTTGTGAAAAGAATATGAGATTATTTTATGAAAATTCTTTTATTAATAAATGTAAAACCACATTAAATGTTACATAGTTTAACATACAGGGGGAGTTTAAAACATATGTAAAGCTTTAAAGTAAAAAAACGCAGGAAAGTTTATATTGCTTAAATAGGTTTTGTTAGAGAAAGCTTTATTGTAAAAACTGAAGAGTATCGTGGATGATACGAAACCGGTATTTTATGTATGTGTGGTTTTATTTATTTCTTTTAAATTAACAGTAATAAATAAAGATATTTTTTAAATATTTTAAAGTCATTTTTATATTGTTTCATTTTTATTAACCACTTCCTTCAACCAAATATAATTGTTTCTTTGTATATATGTATATAAATAGATACACATACGTACATACATTAAGAAAATATTATTTATGATTTTAACTTTATACACAAGTGCCAAAATACTATAATTAAGAAAATATGTTTGGAGTGTAATTAATACTTTGTACATGAAAGATTATTTATTACTAATGTTAATTTCTTTTTAATATTTTACTTTTTACATATAGTAGAACAGGAATCAAACTTGGAGATGTAACGAATGTCGAAAGAATAATATTGAGGGAACAAAAACAAAATAGTTGTTTTTATCTGATTAGAAAGACGAATCAGAAAAGCACAAAAAAATGAAAAATTAAAGCACAGAATAAGCATTTACCTGAATTCCACAAAACCTTTGCTCAGAGTAAGGGCTACGAAGTCTCCATGGAGATCAGCATGGCCACCACTATACAGAAGAATTCCATCATAAGATTCAGGTCGAAACTCAAGAGAAATATGCGTCACCTTGTGGGCGTCACGTAAAACAGGCAGAGCCAAGTAGGAAGATCCAACGAACTTCGGATATTTCAGTTCAACCGCTTGAGTTAACAAAGTAAATAAATAAATGTTATGTGAGTATAACAAAATATCGGGTTTGTTTATACTACAAAGCTTTATTTGTTTTAATTCCGTGAAAAATAATCTCACCCTGGTTTTACTGCGCTAAGCAAAACAAGGTTTCAGTGTAACCCAGTGATGATTATTGGGTAAATAAGAAGCCCAACTAAACATAAATTCATTTTTACAGCTCATGCACAAAATGATGCAAAGTGGGTAATACCCGGGGCTGGATTTAAAAGAAGGCTATTAGGACATTAGTCCAGGGCTCTAGTCTACCAAGGGATGGAGGGGAAGCACAGGCTAGGTTAAAATACATTAGCATATTTTTAAATCGCTGTTTCTGGACTTAAAATACGGTTCACTTGTCCTGTGGTCGCGCTAGCTAAACCCTGGCGTCTCTTACTGGCCACGCACACGTTAGCGCTATGATTAGTTTGTATCGTAAAATTTGCGAGAGATAAAGTAAGAATCCGCTGGCCGTGGTCACTAGGTACTTGCGTTGCAAGTGCTCAGTCCATTGTTCACTATTGCACTTGGCGTGCTTACTTTCTGGAGTTGCTTCACGTTCATACCGCTAAAAAAAAGAATACTCGCGCCATTTTTTTGTTGCTAGATAGAGAATGGGGATAGTGAAACTTTTATAATTCTTTGGGAAATATCACGTGACTCTAGAATCAAAAGTAAGTATATTTTGATGAATAGAATTTTGCAGACTTGTTCCAGAAGTGTGTGTAGTGTTCAGGATGAAGCAAAACATTTGCCATATTTAATTCAGAAGAAGAGTAATAAGCATGTATATTTTATACATAATGACCTAACCATGTAAATAGAAATAACTACAGTAGTTTTGGTTTTCATTTATTTTTTATTTGCCTAAAAACTATCATTCTGTTTGACAAATTTGACTCATTCCTCAAACCAAATGGTGGATCATAATGTAATATCGGAGGAATCTTATGTATTTGTAATCTTTATGATTTCAGATATACACGCATACATATCTATGTGTATATAAATTTATATCATTATTATAACATATATATACACACACGTATATATATATATATATATATACACGCACACATCAAAGTACTAAAGCATATATTCTTAGGGCGTTTTCTTGAAATAGATAAATACATTCATATCACAAAAGGTAATAAAATAAAGAGACTAGAGAGACTTTGGATTAGCAGCGCCACCTTCAGTTGGTAGGTTTTATTATCTACTAAGAAACAGCTAGCGGTAAGCGTGCCGGACTGTAGATCCGAGGGTCCATGATTCGCGTCTCCTTAAAAAAGAAATGCACCCCACACTTTGGGGACTGGGTGAGTTAGTAGAGTGACAGTCAAATCCCACTTTTGATTAAAGTAGCCCAAGAGCACTGCGCGAATATTCGTTATAAACAAATAATATTAGCGGTTCCAACAGTTCTAAAAAAATATCAACTGAAGTTAGCGCTGCTCATTTAAATTCTGTCTGATCGTTTTTCTTTAGTTCCTACATAAAAATGTATGCTTTATTCTTAACAAACAGAAAGATTTTTCTCAAGATCATACACCACTCATGCAGCTAATAAAAGCCTTCTATTCACGCAGTATCTAAAGCAAGTCACGAACCCACCCCTTTTTTTTCTTAAAAGCGAGAACATGTAAACCAACATTTTATGTATGAAAAATTCTCAATTTCGAGAATAAGGCTTGTCGTAGCAAGCAAGAAATCTGAATTATTAAAATGTAAGGTTTTCCTACAAAAATATCGTAGCAAACAATATATCTTTCTACATACAACGTATGACTTTTGAAGACAAGTGTGGTATTTGTAGAAACCTTATACTTAAATTATATCTCATTCACTAACGTTTTACGTTAAACCGGCTACTTGGGTATATGAGCAAAGTGGGACAATGGTAAGAATATTGACACTACCAGAATGAACAATTTTTAGGGTATAAATCCCTCGTTCATTGATACACAATATATTAAAGCGCACGAACAAGTCAGAGCTCGTTTTTGTTCGTTCGTTATTAATCTCAAAAGCTGCACTCTTTCCACCGAGGGTATCAAAACTCGATATTTAGGGCCTTCAAACTTTCCGCTGAGCTACCGGGGGTCGTCACTGTTCATATGCAATTGATTTGGTTTGATTTGTTTGAAGTTAAGCATAAAGCTACACCAGGGGCTATCTGTGGTCTGCCCACCACGGGCATCGAAACCCGGTTTTTAGCGTTGTAAGTCCGCAAATATACCGCTGTGCCACTGGAGAGCATATACAATCGAACCCCATTTAACCTATAAAAGGCTTCACGACGATTAACTTAATTACAGATGTTACCACCTTACAATAAAATGTAAGACTGTTAGAAATGTGAGTTTATAAGCTTTACAAAATTACCTACCATTGAGCCAAGGCAATGACTAGCTTACATTACTATTGAGCCAAGGCAATGACTAGCTTAAATTATTCGGGTAAGAGGTTTTACTCTGGTGTTTTATTATTCGCATCATGTATAGGACTTTACATCTTCTTCTTTACTCAACATCTTGAAATTGTAGGTTTAATGCTGTTTACTTCCATCCATATGATGTACGTGCGTCTGTTGATATGGTTTATTATATGTGTGTTTCACATGTTCCATCAGTAGCGACCAAAGTTGAATTACTGCGTCCCAACCCTGATTAAAAATGAATAGTTTATTTACCCTTATATTACCCCCTAGTTTTATGTCATTCATATTGTATCATAATTAATATAAAGAACCAGTAAAAAAACGAGTGAACTCGCTCATTTCTCCGTAAAATACACAGGGTAACACAATCAGTGATTAATTTCAATTATTGTTGTTATTCTTGTATAATTATGATGTGCTAGTCATTTATCATTAGTCGTCCTATGGCTGAAATGTTCTAGATTCACAAGCGTAAGTAAGTTAGCTAAATTTGTTTAAGTTGCACTTAATTATCTAGCTGGTTGTGTAATTTTTCTTTTTATTAAAGATCAGAATAGCATTCTTTTAATCTTACAGAAACCTTAAACTTTAAAGTAGTTCTTAAAATAAAAACAAAGACGAATTTTATACTGCAGTTACTTTAATGACTTTTAAAATGTTTTGATAAATAAGTTTACCTTTCTCGCAAAAGAATCCCCCTCTTCCTAATGGACAACTGCATTTTATGCCCTCTGTCGACGGATCAGGAATACAAGCACCACCAAATTTACATTCCAATTCTTGGCATTTAACGTATCGAGGAGTAGATGGCGTGGTGATCGTTATGGTATTCATTGGTTGAAATAGTTGATTCACTTCAAAATTAACAGGTGCTTGAGAGGTTGATTTCGATTTATTAACATCCAATTTAGGCTTTTGAATTCCATGATATTTTACTCCAATGACAGCGCCATCCACAAGGTTGGATGTGAACTCTATTTTAGCTTCTTGGTGTTCATAATTTTGGCTTTTATCGTAATCTTTTTGGGTCTGAGATAAGGATTCAGGGATGTTACTTGGAGCTCCTTCAGTACGGCTTCCAGTAATTATGGTCTTGTTATCAAACTGTTGTTCTTTGGTAACCTTCTCTTTACTTGGCTTTTTTTCAACATTTTCTGAAAGAAAATCAATATCTGTTTTACTTTTTTAGACCTAAACCTACTTCCAGACTAACGAACTTATCTACTACAATAGCCAGTACGGGAGGTTAAAAAGATTTTTAAAAAATGGCACTCGAAAAGTTATAATGCATGTTTCACTTAATTTATTTCTAAACTCTTCATAAAATACCACCAAGAAAAAAGTGTGTGTCTTAAAACACTGTTTGGAAATAAATCTCAAATAACTGTAATGTTTTTATTACGTTCAATTTACATACATATTTAAGCCTATATCTTTGTTGAAAGCAAATAATGTCCCACGTTACAGCATTTATATGATCATTATTCATAAAAAAAGAATCTTTACAACACGGAAGAGCTATAAGTACTGGAAATGATTGTGGAGGGTTGAGGGGGGAGGACATCATGGAATTGTCGAGATCTTAGTCGAAGAATAATGATACTCAATATACGAATAGATTAAATTATTCGGTATATTCATAAGGCGTTCGCGCCTCAATGTGAAAATATCGCAAAAATAAACCATGAAAAGGAGATTATGCGTGATAATTATAAAATTTAAAATAAAACTGAAATGTTATAAACTGGTGCATAGAATGACTAATTGCGATACGGATGAAACTAAGAAAATGATACTAGGCTAATAAATCATTAAAATATTGCAGAACATTTAGAGAGGAAGATTATTTCTGGTAAGAAAAATTAATGACAAATGTTACTGAAGTAAGGAACTTAAAAAACCTGAGAAAAACGCAACTAAAAATGAGTCAGATTATTCATGATAAACAATAAATATTAATAAAAACGTGTTAAGTGAGTAAATTATGAAGCTTTACAAAATAATCTGCCAGAATCAGTAAGAACGTGAAATTAAGGAAAATGCTTCCAAGACTAGTAAATTAACAACATTTTACAAAAACAAGCCAAACCCAAACATGGGCGTTACATAAAAAAAATATTCCTGCAAGGTTTCGGGTGTAGCTTAAGCTACGCTTCTTTTGCTTTTGTTTATACCTGTTTAACTTTGGGCATATCATTAGATCTGAAAGAAGGATAGCAGACATCCCGATGGGTAAAATCGAAGGAAGAAAATCGAGAAGTAGACAAAGACTAGTTGGCTCGACAGCGTTAGAAAATGGATTGGAGATGAAAAATTCGATTAAGAAAGATGGAGAAGCCAGCGAGGAACTGATAACAATGGAGAACCATAGACGACGACCCTTGAAACTGGGGAGGACACAGTGATTGATTGATAGCTCTTGAAAGTTAAATTGTAGTGATGTTTAGGCATTCTAACACCTCTTAATTTTTTCCATAACTCTTAGATGAGTAAGGTTGTCTCGAAAGTGAAAAACTGATGATGCTTTAGGTTGTGAAATAGAGATATAACTAAAAAGTTCACAACAAGGTTTATTTGTCATCATCCCCCTCTTCTGTTTTATTTTATTATTTTTATTTGGTTTGAATAAACAAAGTTTCAAAGCTAGTTTTAGTAATACTTTGTAATACTCGTTCACACACAAGAGGCTACTTGATAGATGCTTAACATGTAAATCTGCATTAAAATAATTTTTCAATGATGATCCATTCGACAATAACTACCGGAAGTTAATTCACCCGAGAAGGGATTTTACTATCAATGCAAGACCTCTCTTGATAAGTTAGTTCTTAATTGAGTTACATGTTAACTGAGAGCAGAGATGACAAATATGACTATTGTTGTAACAGCCTCTGTTGTTGGGTGGGTTCTTTTGCATTATTTGGTAAAAGGAAGAATACAAAGTTCTTAAAATTTAATGTTAACATAAGTGTTTTATTTCTTAAAATACAAGTTCTACAAGTTACTCGAACTAAATATAGTCATAGTTTCAAAGATAACGTACGTTAGGAAGTTTCTCACACCTCTTCTTCAATACTTTGTTAAAACACAAATTCCGTATTCACAAAACTAAAGTAATAGACGACTAGATTAACAAATTTGCTAACTCAGTGCAACAGACAGACAAAATCAATGATCATCTGTAGTTTAATTCGTGTTTTTGTATCATTCAAATCCTTTCTAAACTTAAAACAATTCCAGACCTTAAGCCACGCT